TATCGGATAAGGGTTTTCCAGAGAGATGGCAAGAGTTTGTGCAATGATGATGATGATGGCTATGGCTATGAACATAGCTATGTGTGATCCAATAGCACCATGTTACTTCATATTTGGTGATTCTTTGGTTGATAGTGGAAACAACAATCAGCTTCAATCCTTAGCAAGAGCTGATTACTTCCCTTACGGTATCGACTTCCCGTTTGGTCCAACCGGCCGGTTCTGCAACGGGAAAACAACAGTAGATGTCATCAGTAAGATTACTTCACTCAAGTTTCTGTTTTTAGGTTCAAAACATGTAACTTAAACAAACAAAACAACTAACTTATTCTGTTGTTTTTATTGCGCGAAATCTAAAAAAAGCCGAGCTTCTTGGTTTCGATGACTACATTACACCATATGCACAAGCAAGAGGAGAAGACATTCTTAGAGGAGTAAACTACGCTTCTGCAGCTGCTGGAATCCGAGAAGAAACCGGTCGTCAATTGGTAATAATAACCGATTTTTTGTTTGATAAACATATCATTTAGACTTAAGTTTCTTAACTAGGAAACCATAAATCTCTTTCCTTTACTGGTTCAGGGAGGTAGAATTACATTTGCAGGACAAGTAGCTAATCATGTAAACACTGTGTCACAAGTGGTGAATATACTCGGAGACGAAAACGAAGCTGCTAATTACCTAAGCAAATGTATTTACTCGATCGGTTTAGGTAGTAACGACTATCTCAATAACTACTTCATGCCTCTCTATTACTCAACCGGAAACCAGTACTCCCCTGATTCCTTTGCTAATGACCTCATAAACCGCTACACCGAGCAACTTCGGGTCAGTTCATTTAGTTGCATATCCTCTGTTTCTATATCCTCTGTTTCTACATCCTCTGTTTCTATATGCTCTGATTTATGTCCTCTGTTTCTTAATCCTTTTTGAGTAGATAATGTATAGCAATGGAGCGAGGAAGTTTGCGCTAATTGGTATCGGTGCAATAGGATGCAGTCCAAATGAGCTGGCTCAGAATAGTAGAGACGGAAGAACTTGTGACGAAAGGATCAATTCCGCAAACAGAATCTTCAACAGCAAGCTCGTGTCGCTAGTTGATCATTTCAACCAAAACACACCAGACGCTAAATTCACTTACATAAATGCTTATGGTATCTTTCAAGACATGGTAACAAATCCTTCTCGCTATGGTAAGAGTCACACCACTTAAACCAAAACACAATCGAAAAATCGAGTTTTTACTTTATCGATAGTTTTGATTCGGTTTTTTATGTTAATGGTTTTAGGGTTTAGGGTGACAAATGCGGGATGTTGTGGAGTTGGAAGGAACAATGGACAGATAACTTGTCTTCCAGGTCAAGCGCCATGTTTAAACAGAGACGAGTTTGTGTTTTGGGACGCGTTTCATCCAGGAGAAGCAGCGAATATCGTAATCGGTAGTCGATCTTTTGAGAGAGAATCTGCTTCTGATGCTCATCCTTATGATATCCAGCAGCTTGCTATGCTCTAGTTTTATCAAGTTTCTTCCACAG